TTTTTTTTTTTTTTTTTTTTTTTTTTTTTTTTTTTCCAGACTCCATGTATTTTTAACGATTTCTCTGTTGCTTGCAGAAAGTCAAGAGGATGAGAGAACAGGAAAAGGAGAGCACTCAGATAGAATAATTCAATTTTCTACTTTGTGAAGAGAAAAATCTGTCTCTGGGCTACATCTGAAAAAATAATAGAAAATGATGCTTTCCTTTTGTAGCTTCTAATACATTTTATTTATTAAAAAAAAAAAAAAAAAAAAAAAAAGCCCCTTTTTATCTCTGCTTCCTTTGTGGAAAATGAAGTCATGTGCTTTGCAAAATCACAGTGCAGGTGATGTACTTACTTGAATTTGTAAGGAAATGGGAGAATTTTACAGAGGGACAAAAAAGAACTTAGGAGAAAAACATCTCTCTGACAAAACAAAGTCATGGATCCAGTACACTTTTCCTTCGTGTGTGTGACATAGAGGAAATGAATATAAAAGGAAAAGGAGAGAAAATAAGGTGCCCTTCTAGAAGATATATGTAGATTGCTTAGTAAACATATTTGCTTGAACACAACTATCGTGGTTAATTATTGGGTGCTGTTCTGCTATTCTCTATCCATCAAAAGAAAAATTTTACACAGAAAAGCTGGGGCTTGTACCCTTACGTATATTCAGGTATTGGCTTTCAGTGGAGTTTGGTGCAAAAGGAACAGCACAAACTGCTATTCAGGGTGAAACTATAGCTCTTCATGCCAAGTTTAAGTGCTGGTGCTGTGCATGGTTGCAGAAATCCTGTGTTGCCTCTGAACTGAATAAGAGAAGCCCACCAGTGCCATCGTGAAAAAGTATGGAGGAGGTGCAACATGGACAGGGTAACATGGGCAACTTACAAATTTATACATTTAGTATACCTTACCTCTCATGCTTGTAGGAGAGGAGGATATATATATATATATATAATTTTTTATTGATATAGAAATATAGATAGGGGAAGCAATTCCCAGGACCCTCCTCTGCATTGCTCCCCCTTATGACAACACAAAGTGACACAACAATGAGATCTTCTCCAAGTGTACTTTGTTTCACACCCCTTAGGCTAGTGTGTGTGAAAAATAGCCTCAATACACTTATTTGAAAAGAATAAAATGAAGCAGAAAATTTATACCAGCCTCTATCTATGTCCATATTTGTCGTTTGTAACAAAAAGTATAACTATAATACCCCTACATCTAGGAGTCATTGTAGTGAGGTTCATCAAATCTGTGACAGCTCACTTTGTGGAAGACTGGTGGGCTGAGAGGAGAATCAGATGTATATCAAGGGGAGCTTTATTAAGTTGCTCAGTAAAAGGAAATCTGAACTTGATGAAACACACCAGCTTACATCTTTCTGTCAAAAGTTTCACTCTGTTCCATCCTTTTCTCTGATACCATTAAGATCTGAAATATGTTCCCTTCTTGCATTTTGCTGGAAGTAAGAGAAAAGAAATATCAAAATTCTGTGAAGCAAATGTAGATTTTTATATTTCATAGCTTGCTTGATGCAACTCAGCAGTTATTGTTACTTCTTATTACTACCACTGCAAGTCATTCTTCATACTGAAGTATTGCAGGTAAAACTCAATGTCAAAGCCATGACTTAATAGCAGAGCAGTGGCTGTGCAGCATACAATTATCTCTCTCTGTTTTTGGGAGGTTGAAAATTTTTCTTCTGTTCTTTTCACAGTGACTCCTCCTTCTTTAAAAAAGATCCTCCTCGCCCTGGGATTTTCGGGTATTCATAACACATTCTTGTTTCAATAGCATCAGCTGTGTTATCAGGCGATACTACCAAGAGGGGATTCCTTCCTTTGATATCTATTGCAGGAAACCCTGCCTGAACATGCTGCACAATCTTTTCCATGCTTACAATGTGTGCTTAGCCAGCTCAAGGTGATTTCAGGCAATGCTGAAAGGGTTTTGATGAGAAAACTCAAGGGACTCAGTGACATGATGGCGGCCCCTGTTTTGAAGACTGTAGGACTAGCACTGCTCTATGGTTCTTGCCAAAGAATGAAAACTCCTTGTCTCCTAACAATTGTATTTCAGAGAAGGTGAAGACTAATTTTAGCTAATAAGGGTATAAGTGAACAGGGATATTTTAATAGGAATGCTCAATGACTTTTAACTGTCTTTAGAGTTCATAGGAGTTATTCACATAAATCCACATATATTGAGAAGTATACCTTGTATATAGGAATTTCAGCTGTTCTATTTACAGCATTTACTGAGGAATGGATGATTTGTAACAGGATGGTAATTATGGCTAGGGAGGGTCTTTTCTAGCTGCAAACTCTCTGCTTTACAAATACCTACTACTATTTGTTGTTGTTGTCTGCAAAAAACATCTAAAGTTGTTGTTATCAGGCATTCTGATTTATTTGGGAATTAGGAAAAAATTTAGGAAAAAAAAATTAGGAAACAGCATTTGTGATGCTGAACTGCTACTGACAAATCTACCTGGTGTCTTTACTGCAGGAGGAATTCTTGCAGTACTCGTAAGTACTTGTGTGCTGTAGGGATGCTGCATGCAGAAAATTACGGGACACTCCATGAGTTAAATATAAACTAAAAGACCTAAAAAGTACTGTAAGCATTTTTTGGACCAGCATAGAGACACATATTTTAAAGCAGTTTTTGTTTGTTTGTTTTTAGTCGATTTATTTACCCAAAGGAGTAAGGGCTCATTTTAAATTCTGATTTCCACAGGAGCCAGAAAAAGGATTCCTTCTGTTGGAGGAATTTAAACAGGTTTTAGAATTCAAATCTACAAATCTACTGCTGACCTAAGGTCCTCATCTCATTTTCTTCTCAAGATGTTTAATGGAATTAACAAAGCTGTCAAACAGGGAGGATCAAGCTCCAGGTTTATTATGTGAATTGATGAAGATTACTCGTTGTTTCTTGCTCAACTGAGTATTTCACTTTACCTAAGGCTAATATTCCTCTAAAAGCTCTGCTGTCACTGGGAAGAGAAAAAATTCCCCCAGAGAGCAATTCAGTGTGGTTAAACTGGGCTCCAACTCTGAATTACCATTTTGAGATCATCTCTTCTGTACTGACTGCAGATGGAGCCTAGGGAGGGATAGCAGCCTCCCAAGGCAAAAATTAGCTTATGAAAATACCCAGTTTTTTGTCTTATTAGATCCCGATCAGGTTGCACAGCAGCGCTGTCCAAGAGAACAATATTTTAACTGCTCTTGGCTGAAGGATTCAGATTTTTTATAAAGATGTAGAACTTCCTGTGGTGGTCCATGCTGATTTTGTCATTAAAATTATTTCACTGTACATGACAAAACCAGTTTACTGTATGATATGGAGTGATTCATGAAGAATCCTGGATCCTGTACTGTAACAAATAAATGTGGTTAGTATTTGCTTTTTGTTTCTGTTTTTATTTGTTGTTGTTTATTTTCTTTTAGTGTTCTTGGCAGTTATTAATACATTGCTTTTGTGCAGTCTTAATTATTAACTCCAAGTTTGGAAACACTGTTTCTTAATAATGGGATTCAGCAAACTGGTGGTGAGGAGAATGTCATAAAAACAGTAGCTAGCCTATAGGTTTTTCAGTATAGACCCTTGAAAAGTATGCACTATACAAATATATTAGTATATCAGTACCTGCTTCATTGTGATCTGAAAGAAAATGTGTAATAAGAAAATTTGGGAAGATTTGGGAAGAGCTCCCAGCTGATGTAACAGCTCGAATCCACCAGAATCAATGGCGATCCATGAGGTCTTCAAGAGACCAAATGTCATTCTGAAAATGTCATCAATTTTGTTTCCTTTGAGAACTTCTTTTCTGAGTACACTTCCAACTGCAGCACTAAACTCACTCTTGTTTCAGAGAATAATCTTCTCCTGAACTATGTCCATTTATCTTTCCTAATTTTATTTGATGAGCTTACCCTGTTTGATACTATTGACCACAACCATAAAACTTTTTAATTATGATTCAGGCAATATTTTCTTCATTCTGACACAACATATTCTTTTTAGGTTCCATTTACTTTTAATTAGGGTACTGGCATTTTCCAGTCTGCCAACCAAATGAGTACTTAGCAGCATGAATAAATACTGATATGTATGTAGGAATATTTTGCCATCTGCTGAGCAATGGGAAGAAGGCTTGGTGTAACCCTTTTAAAAAGGATGGTTCCCAACACTTTTGCTCAAAAGAACAGTGAGGGGAAGCCCTACACTATGGTCAAATCAGACTTCTGTTTCAGGATACCTGCAAGATGCTGCATAATAAGTCATGTTTTAATTTGCTATCTGTTGGACCACCCACCACTGGGGCAGTTCTGACTTATTCAGAAAATAAGCTCAAATATATCATCCAGATAGTAAATGCAAGATACTTAGCTGGATAATTTAAGGATATCTAATAGGATAGTAAATGATTGAAAACACCTAGAAATGCCTTAAATCTGTTCCACACAATGTAATGAAAAGATCTGATAATTTTTTTCTTTTAATAATGAAGAAAGGAATAAACCTTTTTTTTTTTTTTTTTTTTTAATTTTGAAAATCTTATGCTTAGTGTATAAGGTAAAATAATTAATTTATTGCACTCAGTCTGTTTGATCTGATTATTTGCACCTGTCTTTGGCAATATGGTATAGCAGAACTAGCTAGATCCAATGTATGAGGGCAGCTCTGAAAGTAATGCCTCCTATTTTATTATGTTGTCTTACAATGTCAGATATTGGTGGGATGGCAGCAGAGGTTCAGCCTTCCCACCAAAATCCCATTCCATTTGGTTGCCATGTGACAGATGGCAACACAGGGGCAGTCTGACAGAATAGTGTCTGACACAGAAGCAAGCAGGAAGTTAAAGTGTGACACTGAAATCCTCTATGTGGAAAAAATGTACCCACTGACATTCATTCATGCTTGCTGATCATTTATGGAGACCAACCAGTAAACATGAAAACAATGAAGCAGTGAGTGATGCGTGTCAGCAGAGGTGACAGTTGGTCTGCACCTCTGTTTGTGCAGATTTTTATGAGCATGGCATGCTGGCTCTTATTCATTGCTAGTGAAAGTACATGGCTAATAGTGATGAATGTTGAAAAATGGCATTTTGTAGCAGTTAATTTGTTCAATCAAATAGTTTTGCTGTGTTCTTTGTATCTGTTGT